ATTTTTTTATTTTTTATTTTCATGTGATGTTTTTATACTGTTGAAATAATTTTTTTCTATTGAAAAACCGAAATGAATATTGATTGATCAACATTTTTGTTGTTTTACTACGATAGATACAATAGTTAAGCACCTTGTTTAAAATTGTAAAATTTTCCTTTACATGAGTTGCTCATAGTAAAACACATAGATTATTTGTTTGTATGGAAGCTCAGAGTAGTAAGAAGTCGTAAACTCGTAATAGCTGATGCTATAGCTGTACGTACATATATGTATGTGTGTGTGTTCGTCTGTATGGTGCGCACTTCCGAATAATAACGTGTTTGTGTGAAAACTGCGTAGAATAGGATGAAACATGTTTGTATTACATCAATTGATGTATTGCTTCGTAAGTTTTCCATTCATCTACCTACACAAATGGAATACAAACAGCGTTTTAAATGTTAAAGTTATCATTATGTGCATGACATGGTTATACAAATGGAGGGCCTCTGTCAAATTAGCCTAGTTTTGGTATCTCTCTCCCATCTTCTCCACTGTTAATCTTATCACATAGCACATGCCATGGCTCAAAACACGATGTTGTAATGCGCAAAAATACAATTTACATCACAAAACACAACATGAGATAGCAACGCTGCTAACGCTGCAAGTACCTCCGACAGAAGGTGCATACTTTCAAATCGTAATGAAAACATGTTTGGCAGAGCGGTGGTGGCTGCAGCACTACGTCACCTCCAGCGGCTGCGCGGCGGCCGCGGAACGTGATCGGAACGGGAGGAGCGCGCTGCGCGTGGCGCGGGACTTGCGGGAAGCGACCTTGACGCCGAACGAGGAATGAATCACGGCAGCGAAAGTGGGAGAAATGTGCCGCCGCGCCCCGCGCCGCTCACTTTTACTTTCCAGTGTGGCGCAACCGAGAGCGGCGCCGCAGCGCGCGCGCCACTCGCCCGGCGCCCGCGGCCCGCAGCGCCGTCGCGCCGAACACCGCGCTCCTAACACCGTCCGCGACTGTGACTCTGCCCGGATTACAGTGATACTACCAGTGCATCACAGGATTCAGTTTCAGTGATTCCCGCGGCGAAAGTAGAAACCGGGTCGCCGATAAGCGTTGTGCAAGTTGTTGCGCGCGGAACTCGCGCGCGGCCTCGCACTCTCCCGCAGGAAGCGTGTCGCAAGCGGGGAAGTGGCGCAAGCGCCGGGAAGCCGCCGCGCGCGCTCCACAACACACATACCCTGGATTGCCCCGGCAACACTGGATTCTCTTCTAACATTGTCCCCTGGTAAGATACACCGCCGTATACTAGTTGTTAAGGTATCATTGTGTGAATTAGAAAGTGACAATCTGCAAGGAAAAGCTGTAATTAAAGTTCGAGAGAGCATACTGCTCCATCCCGCGCATTCTGTTCTAAACGTCGGAGATATTAGTGAAGGGGACTAGTGTCACCAACACATTCAAAGCGCACAATTGGCGTCACCGACGACTGAACTTCGGCTCGGGTGTCGGAAACGCTACAAATAAAGAAGTGAAATATCCAAGGACAATACAACTTTCAAGTGATTTCGCGCGCGGCCGACAATAAAAACTTCGTAACGCGCCTGCGCAACCTCTCGGTCTCACTTTCGACGTCTGCGCCGAGCCTCGCTCGACGAGCCGCGCTTTCAATAACTATTACAAAACCTCCGGCATGTCGAATTTTCTTTCGAAAGTTATCGCCGCTAGAAATTTGATTTGTGAAGTAATGAACGTTTCGACAGTGGTTGGCTCAGGTGATGTTGAAAATGTGAAAAGTGCTGCGACCACATGTGCCAGAGGAAAACCTTGGAGTCTCCGTGACCACAACTGAGTCATTGAGTAGGAGCTATTACAAACAGCACGCTCCGAGCAACTGTCATCATTAAGGAGAACTGAAAGGAACACGGTCCAAGGCCAGTTGGATAACGAATTTTCGTTTAATATTAATAAATGGCAAGCACGGCCGATCGTGACGGATCCAATGGTGCATGCGGACGCATAGAATCACTTTGACCGAAGCACTTTCACGCAAACAATCGCCTGGATCACAACAACCGAACCAAATCGGAATAATAAAATTTCACGATATGGATGATATAATCGTTCATAATTGACGAAATTCATTTCACGGAATTATTTTTGTTGCCAAGTTGTTGAAACCCATTCTTTGTATCGTTATAACAAATGTACAATTTACCTTTTTCATTTCATAAAAACAGTCCCACTTGTTACCGAATCACAAAACACAGTTTATACGATAGAAGCTAAAATCATTGGTCTTACATAAAACATCTTTCTTCGGCCGCGATATTCGTAATCCATTCTAAAAGATCTGTAATCTTTCAATGCATCGATAAGAAATGAGTTATGCAATTCACGCGTGCAATAACTGCTTAAACACTTTCATTTTCAAATGCGAACATTAGTGGGCGTGCTAAATGTCAGGATTAAGATTTATGATAAACATCATGATTAGCTAGTGACAAAAGTACAATGAACATAGTTAGACTTTCACTCAGTGAAATGGCGACGCGAAAGTAAGGCTCTTGTTCAACGGGTGATTTCATCCCGATTTCACAAGCAAATGTAAAGAAATTGAGTCGAAATTTGAGGATTGTGTTTAAACTGGGGGATACGACTTTCTCGTTTCATGCTCCATAGATTCTTAAAGGTGTAAAAGACTTTTTACAAGTAAGTTTATTATGAGGAAATGGCAGAGCAATTACACTTCGCTTCCGAGTTCTTTTACAATGAATCATTAAAATGGCTGGTGACGAAATGTGATAATAAATTGGCTAGACAGTATCATGGAAATAGACTTTGAACTATGTCGTGAGAATTTTGTGGTTTATCACTTGTTACATGGAAAAACTAACAAACATGAACTAAGAACATAAAATTGTCTATAAATTTTTACCAAATACTAGTGTGAACGTATTTTTATTAAAGAAACTTGGTATTCAATTGTTGATATTTTACACTAATGACTGTGTTTTAGTAGAACATAGATATTTCGTAAAACCGTGAACAGACCATTGTTTGCAACGTATATGAAAAGGCCTGTTACAAATACTATGATAAATGAATAGTTCTACACAACGACAGTTCACTATTAATTTATCAATAGATTCATTTATAAAATATCACTTTTGTATGATATCATGTTTCCGTGTTTAATTAATTCAATGGCAATAAATATGTAGTAAATGTTCGCATCGAGATAAACAATAGAATGGTACACGGCCCAGCCGATGTGGGAGCCTCTTACTTTGTTACGAAAATGAAGTCTCAATAACAAAAATTAATTCAGAGTCCAAAACATAGAGCAATTAAAGTAATTCTCACAGTAGCTGATGACGACTTTACGTAATTTGTGTCTTTGAAGAAATTCAGTGTGTTATCCAATCTGTTTAGACAATGATAGTGAGGAAATGAAAGTGGAAAGCTGTTACGAGATCGGAACGAGACGTTTATAGTCGCATTAACACAAACTGTATACACGGTCTTTTGGCCGTACTGGGTGATCCACATACGAATCTACATATTCATCGATATGTTAATGATGAATCGAAAAAATGATAATAAAAACAAAGCCAATACTTTTTGTCTCACACAACCTTTATTCGACAGTTTTATCATTCAAAGATCAAACATTTTTATGTAAATGTCGCAAGGACATCCGTATTGCTAAATAAAATATGTCACTGCAGAAGGATAATTTAAATTTTGACCCAAAATCTACAATTTTTCTTAGAAGGTAACATAGTTCATTATCTGTTTATGGAAACATTTTTAGTGACATTGATTTTTAGGTAAATAAAAACCACTTCTAATAATTATGTTTGTTCCGAATATTTAAGTCTTTAAAATTCACAGTAACTCAAATATGTACCTGAATACATGAAATATTATTTCTTTTGCCCAGTAACATCTTTATTTGCTCAAAACAAATGTGTTTCATTAAAACCATTTGCGAACTCTCTAATGACCTACTTACTCGCATTATCTCCAGCGTCTTCAGCTAGTGTAATTGCGCCACGGTTTTCATTTCTCAGTGACCACCCACGCTAAATACGTGTCAAATTGCTAATAGCATTATCAACTTTCATTGCATCATCGTCATCATCGGTTGTAATTATAGTGTTTGTCCAGCGACCACCGCTTGTTATAACAATAAAGCTATCTGCTACGCTCATTAACTTACAAACTCTAATATTACTCCGAGACCTGTTGGCTTTGCTCTGTAGCCCATCCCTAGAATATAAACATATTGTATGGAAGCATCGCTTTATCTGTTGGTACCGTCAAGTAGGTAACAGCGGCGTAGGCGATGGCGGTACACATTGCAACGTGCCGATTCATATCCAAGGTCTTTCCTAGTTCCTAACGTCCAGTTTCTATAACCTATCTATCTGTAGATTTGCTTACTAGAGATTGAATTTTGACATGAGCTCCATACAAAATGTGTCAAAATTCTATCTCTAGTAAGCAAATCTACAGATAGATAGGTTATAGAAACTGGACGTAAGAGAACGGAGTTTCCTGCGGCCGCCTATCTCTCGCGCACACCGACATTCGCACGTGAACGCACACGCGCCCACGTGTCGCTATTCTTTGTGTTCAATCTTTCCTAGCTACCGTTGCGAGGCATCTTCTTTTTGTGCCGTCCGGTGGCGTTTGAAGTTTGAGCCTCTGAGCGGTTCATTATATAGGCGACGTGCGATGCGCGCGCTTCGCAGTTAGTATGTCAGTGGAGCCCGCGCGAGAGGTGGCCTGCAAGGACTGTACCGCGCCAACCTTTTTTTCTGTGCGTGCGATGTTTTCACTTTCGTCATTTTGACCAGGCCAGTTTGATTTGACGTCGCTCGCGCACGGACGTGCCTAGGTTCCGGCGTTGTGATATCCTGTGATCGCTGGTGCTTCGGATTGTTTTTGTTTATGAAAATTATTTTTGTGAAAAATATGGCTGTGATAAAGTGTTAATATGTTTGATAGTAACATTCTTTTTAATTTCTACAATGAGATTGCTAATAGAAGTGCACTACAGTTGGCAAGGTAAGGTTGTTTTGTTTGTTTACCTTAAATTTAGTAGGTATGTGGGGATGCGCATGTAGGTGTGTGGGCGGCGGGTAGGTAGTCACTGTTCACAGTCCGCTGGGACGGTCGACACAACCTTGGCTCTAATGAACGCACTATTCGCCGCTTCATCCGCCTCTCGCCTTCGCCTGAGCCTCGCTCGGCGAAGAGGTTAATAGGTTCACATTAGATGGTGGTTTGCGAAATCGACTGAGCTCAGCGTATGACTGCGCCCGCGCCGCTTTTCCACGGTTACATTCGCGCGCATTCGACACGCTGAATTAGTTAATAAATAAATAGTAAATTGCGATCACAGTGAATTACGTTACTAACCAGTGTATGAAACATGACATATATATAAATTAAATAAAAATAAAGATCACAAATATAACACAATTTATTTAACCGTTCAAATTCAGTATCCACAAATTTTTAATTTATTACATTACAATTGTAAATGAAAAACATTAGCACAAGTATCAATATAATATCTCAAACAATGAATTTTGGAAACTCATCATTTTGGTTAACTGAAACTCGTTAATGAACACCAATTAATTACCTGTTTAACCGCGAATTTCACTTTTGATTGCTCGAGCATTAAATCGATTTCGGAACTGATAAATACTTGTTTCGCAATAGTAAAAGTCGATTCATTGCTTTTGGCACGAAATTACCGAATATCTTCACTTTAATCGATCACTGTTTTAAGTGAGAATCGGCAAGAATAACACTTTATTTACATGTTCAAGATAAATTTCGTAGATGTAAACCTTGTAGACCGTAAAGCTAGCCTTATTAAATAATTTAAGTTTCAATTAATCGTCTTTATCGCTCATTAATTACCTATCCAAGGCTTCGAAATAATCTCAAAGATAATGAATGGTATTGACTAATATTGTTTTGATATTATAAGATTCATGCGTGACCAACATACGATTACTTCCTCAATCAAATACCTACCTATTTTGAAGAATCATATAAATCGTTCCTGGAAATTTTGTATTTATATCAACAGTATAAATTATCATGTTTTTTTTTTCATAAATTATTTGATATAAAATTGATAACAATATTTGGCTGAGTAAAAAACAAAACATCGTGTTCGTAACAAACAATAATTTTAATAAATGACGCATGAAAATGTAATTATAAAGTATTTTTGAAACTCATTTGTTTAATAAAACCTATGATTCTCAATACGTGAGTTATCTACCATTAATAATACAATAAGTAAGTACCTATGTATAATTTATTATAAATACAAAGACATCGAAAGGTTCTCAAAGCTCACGAATCAGCAGACGGCATGCCACTGCGCAGTAAAAAAAAACATGTAGTGATAAACGATTTGACCGTACCAAACAAAATAAGGCAAATATTGGGCGAGTCTTGTTTACTCTTGCCACAAATGAAGCCAAAAACCGCAATAGAAAAATCACGTGAAAACAAAACATCTCGAAAATTTCCAAGGAAAACGTACATAAACGAAAAGTTGTTAATAAATCCGTATGTAAATAAAATTAAATAAACAAACATTGAGAATCTAATTTGAGGTTAAGGGCAATTAAAATTCCATATTTTATTACCGTCGAGTCTATTCTTGACATTTATACCAAAAGAGATGAAGACAAATTTGTTGTGAACGAAAATTACGCAACGAGAATTGATACTGATGCTGGGAGAGCGAATTGTGTCAATGAAGCAGAAGTGTCGGCAGTTGGCACGAGTAAACAATTAAAGGGCGAGCTACGAATGATCGCCCAATGCCATTTTTCTATTTGACTTCACAAATATCATGCGTATTCTTAGTGTTCCGTAATCGAACAGAAATAACCGGGATGATAGCACTGAATTGATCGAAGCCACAACACCAATTTGACAAGGAACTAAAATTTTATTCAACAGTTTCGCAGATTAAGTAGATAATCAGAAAAATTACTTAGTGATAAACTTGTAAGACTTAATGTTTGTCATCAACTTATAATGACTTGGCAAATTTAATTTATTCTTAAAGGTGAACATCAACCAGAGTTACATTGAAAATTGCAAAAATAATTTTATTATCTACCCAATTCAAAAATATATTAGCTATTTTTAAAATAAAATTTAAAAGTGTCTGCATTCACCTCTATTTTAAATGTTTCTGGTTTCCATTCAGATATTTTTATGATAATAGTTCCTTGAACTTTTCTATGTTGATGATGTACATTCAATATGCATATTTTAGAAAGATGACGAATTTAATACCAAATAACTTACGTCGTTGTAAATGTAAATAATATTAATATTTGAATCAAAAAACCTTGTAATTGTGTTTGTTTTGGAAACCTTTGCGACTTGATTAACTGTACCTGTAATATTTTAAAACATGTCTATTGGCCTTCATATTGTCTGATTAACACGACGGTCACTTCGATAAAGCCCACTGTTGAATTCGATAAGATTTTGAATTTGTGTAACCTTTAAATGATAAAGTTAACCGGAATCGCCAGCTGCTGTATTTTGGACTTTAGTGCCAACTAGCCAATCACCTTCTAATAAGTCTTGTCTTATTGGTTTATCGATCACCATTAGATTACTAATAAGATTTGTATCTTTATTATCATTTTCTCCAATAAGAAATTACTTCCTTAAAACAGCAGATTAATATTATTTATATCATTTTATTAAAGATTATTTAATAGATTACGCTTTGAGGTCGTTCAAAATTGTGTTTGTTTAAGTTGCACGTGTAAACGTTGCACCAATGAGAACTTATCAAAATTCGAAAACGATTTTTCATGACGTAGATATTATTTTAAGGTGACTGATGTTACCTAATTTTGGGTTTTTAAAATGCTTGAATAACCTTCGAAAGCAATTTTATTTTACTCTGTTTTATTATTCCGCAAGTACTAAGTTGTACGCGTTCATAAACGCATTCAATTGTACTGTATTCGATTACGTACATTTGTATCATTATACCAAATGGTACACAATCAAATAATTAGTTTCGCATTGTCAAACACAACATTAATTATACGATAATATTTATTTTACGCAATATCAATAGTACCTAACCTCTGTGTGGAACAATCCACACAGTTATCGTCTACACGTGGTATAAAACTAGATCTTTTCCCGTCAATAGTTTGCATAAACTAATTATGAACACGTCCAAGGGCCTCTATTTGTTCAGTAGTAATCTATTCGTTACTAATAACTGTAATATAACCACAAATGTAACTGTTGTAATTAGGTCACGCTATGATTCGATTGTAACTCCTATTTCCTGGAAATATGGCGCGGCTACTATGAATTTATCACGACTATTGTACGAACGTTGCATAGCAATAGGAAAAATCTTGAATCTAATTAATATTACCATCTGTAATTGACTAGAGTAATGACAGACGTAGGAAGTATAGAAAATAAGGTATCGTAAACGGTCTTAATAATAGCGGACGTAGATTGGCAAAAACAACTGACAGAACGTTTTGTGTGAAAATATGAATTTTCAATGGAGTCGTAATTAGTAAAACGCATCGTTTGTTGCAGGCTTTGTGCACGTATTTAACGTTCCACGAAACTAGGTTTACAACGTAGAAACGCAAACATTTCTAAAATCCCAAATGCGAGAGCTGTGCTCGGTGCTATTTCGCAATCGGCATTTAGGTACTCCTTGCAAAGTCGACATAAACATTTTCTGAGAAACTTCAAATATATTCGACAGGTCGGAACCGCTTCGGTTGTCCGTCCAAACACAAAATGTCTCAACTTCTTTATCGTTTAATGGAATTTCTTCATAGTTCTGCGTACCATTTGACATTGAACTGAATTAAAAAGCGTTATCAGAGGGCTCGATATGTTCGTTAGTGTGTGCCAGTTGTGAAATACTTGTAACATTTGGACAGTAGTTATATTGAGGCTCATTAACATCTTTTAGTTTTGTGTTTAATTACTATTTAATTGAAATTTAATGTATCTTTACCATTCGAATATTGTCTGTCACTGTCATGTTCACGTATTAGCGTTGGCATTGGTTAATGGTCTTGATTTTATCAAACGTCCTATTTAATTCTGAAGTTATTTTTCAATCACAAAAATGTTTTAACTTGCCCAATGTCGTTAGACTCAAAGTACGTTGGATCTTTTAAAAACGTTTCCATGTTTAAGTCAAGGCCATAAATGACGCTATTTGAAATTATTATAAAAATAAGCATAACAACAACCGAGCGGCAGATATGGTAGTTCAAAGAGATGTATTGTGTTAGGACAATAAAATTCGGAATGGTCGTCGTCAAATGACTCCCAGCCCTTTCTTGTTCCCGTTCACGGTACAAATTACCGAAGGACGTTGGAACTGGGTCACTTCGGAAATAGTTTATTGTTATCGGCTAGTCTGCGCACACGCAATGCTCACACGCACGCCCGAGCGCGTTCGATTTTCAAACGTTTACGCACACGAACGAGCCCCCGACTCAATTAGGGTTCATCCTTTATAACTCTCGGAAGTCCTTGTACTAGTTTGCCTTCGGAATCTTCAATATCATCATCGTTACGTCTATGGGTGCGGTTTCAAACGGCTTCCGCTTTCGTACTAAATCGAAAACATACTTTCTTAAGGCCGACGGGTCAATAAAATTGAAAAGGTGTCGGATTTATATTTTCATAATATAATGTCATTACGAGACTCAAAGGCCAGAGTGTTTTGGTCTATTAGTTTTATTACGCAGTTACCCTTGCGTTGAATATTTAATATTTATAGTCTAACGCTTTCGACAGACCCTTGCTAGCGCGTTCTTCGTGTGTACTGTGTGATGTCTCTACTTTATCCAAGGTTCTACGTTTTTATTATTTCATATTGAGTGATGCACCTCGACATGCATTACTCTGACTATTTTATAGTCCTACAAATGCATTCAATGCATCAATTTATTAATAACCTTTGGAACCTTGACCACGCCAATAAATTAATTATAGTCGCTTGTCAGTCA